TTGGAGACACTTTTGTGTGTGTCCCTAATTTTTTCTCGTCTACGGTAACTTTCTTCCCATTGGCCCCTAGTTTTTTTAATGTTTTGCCCCTCCCTTCCCCAAATCTCGAATCCCCTTCCCCTGTGCCATTTTATTTTGTGGGCCTATCAATCTATCAACTAATTGTTTTCTTTAATTTCCTTGTCGGTTACTATTATTTCTTTTTAAGTATCATTTATGTGATTATCTTGTCCGTGTTCTGCACTGCGCCCTGTCCTGTTTTTGTGTGGGGTCCTTCGGAGCTCCTTACCGCTGATTCTTGTTGCTGGGTTGTTTGGAGGTTGCGATCATTGAACGCCGTCTTTCCTTGTTGATCTTGTTCATCATATTTTTTAATTCAGTGTATCAAATTTCAGTCGTTTAATTTTGAGACAGTATGTAACCTTATTAACATCACAACTATTTTTTTTAATCTGATATTATGATTATATACAAAGTTTTTAACATTTAAACTATCAAAAGGCAAATTCGTTTTCCCAGCTCCCTTTCCATTGTATAGAAAATTCTGCAAACCCTTTCATCATTTCTTTAGTTTGGCCAAATCTTAAACAATTTGTTTCCACTTCACTGTATTCAACCTTAAACGCAATGATAAGAGGAGGCTTATATTTGTTGAAAGCTTTCAAAGACTGCCGTGACACGAACCTTATAATGACGTGCTTCTTCTTCCTGTTCTTAGGCCTCGTAAAAAGACCATCACTAATTTCTGCCCTAGAGCCTGTTGTTGATTGCTCGGCCTACTAGTATGGCCAGCAATGCTTGTGAATAAAGACTGAGATTCGTAACTCTTTGCAGATTCATTATATGCTTACAATATGATTCAACAGATCAATTACGGCACCTATCAGGTCATCAGATGGTTCAAAGTTTCCAATCCATATGTTTTCTTTTGCACTGTCAACTTTATAATGATTAACTAGAACATTATATTGGTCTTCACTTTCACCAATTAAACAATCCGCGCGTATGTCCTCTAGCTAATTAAAGCGAAGCTCTAACAGGTGATAAGTTCGTTGTGCCTTTTGTTTCAACTCATCCTGTTTGTTACTTTTTTCTGGGATGGTTACAGCATATTAAATAGAAATTCACTGTGAGTACCATCCGAATAAATGGAAATTCACTGAGAACCGGAGGTTTTGAGTATTAACTAGAAATACACAGATTTTTATAAAATACAGCTGTGTTTTAGTAGACTATATTAAATATTTAAATGTAAATATGAAACACCAACAACATGTCATATTTAAAATCCTTTATAGCTTCAGATGCTAAATTAATGCAAATTCATTTTGTTTTAGCATATGCTGTAAATGTTTTCCAATATTTGCTTTGTGTCAAACCCTTAACAAAAGCAGAGAACATTGCATTTAGATATAATAATTATGTAAATATCTTAACGCCTGCTTTGTACTAGACTAGAATGGACAGTGTTAATAACACATTTAAAGTATTCTTCGAATTAGTGTATATCTTGCGTTTAATATAATTATCTAAACATGGCACTGGATGATCAAAAGCTACAGGGAGCTCAGTCACAAACCCTACCTACCTACCTACCTACCTAACATAAATTCTGCAATGATGTCCCCTGAACCACATATATATTTTGTTGTTGTTGCCTTATGTTTGGTATCTTATATTCTTTCCAACCTTCATTGTTACAAATACATTGCCTAACTGTTTTATATAAATGCGATCAATTCGCACTGAGGCTAGTGCGCGATAAATGTTACTAAGACTTCTTGTATGAATATTTGTACATATATATTTAACAGGGAATATATATTTAACAGGTCAGTTTAGTTTAACGTGAACACTATATACGGCATTAAACATGATAAAGGTGTATACGTGTCTTACTTTTTTTATATAGCAACACAGTGTTAGTCTAACTACTGTATGTTAAATTCGTCTACGCGTTTGAACTAAATACAAACTATAAACATCACTTAAGTAGAACGTGCTACGGAAAAGGGATAAGATAAATATTTTTTGTAGTTGTTTTCAGACGTTAAGACTTTAAATAGCGTCTTATAGCGATTTAAACTTTTCTGTGCTATGATTGTACATGTACTTCTAACAGATTTTTGATCAGTTATCTCCTAAAGTCTATAAAAGCGTGCGTCATTTATCAGATAAAAAATAAATCCAGAATCACAGTGAATATCCAGAAACGCAGGAATGTGCAATTATTGTAAAAGTAACGCAGAATCTGTGAAACCTATTGCCAAAATGAATAACACAGTAAGTAAACGAACCAAAATATTTTATTCTAAATACAATTTAAAGAAATGAATTAGCGCATGCGGCTGCTTTTAATGACATAACCGCCGTTGCTTAGTGCTTCATTCACGAATTCGGCGTTACCTCGTCAATATGCTCTCAATAACGTTTTATCTACTAAATTTAGAACAAGAGAAGATTGGATTAATTATTGTATTTAAAGATATCAATGAAACTAAAAATCGCCATCAAAACACAAATCAGGTCGTCATTTTCATGAATGATCTTTAAAAAAATAAATATCATGAAAATATATTTGATGAGATTTAAAGTATAATGTCTCAGCAACCGTATGCGCTAACTCATTTCTTCCAATATGGTGTACACTAAAAATATTTACTTATCGCTGTGCTTGTTTTATCCACTAAATTGCACAATTCTGCGTTACTTTTGCACAATTCCTGCATTATCTGCACATTTCTGAGTTACTGGATATACACGATGAGAATGGTCAACCGAAAGCCTGGACAAAAGACATAATTTCTCATGATGGTTATGTTTCTCGACATAAGTATATGTCAAATGCCAGGTGTCATCTATTTTAACAACATTAACGTAGCTCACTGTCACAAAACCTACCTACCTACCTACCTAACATAAATTCTGCAATGATGTCCCCTGAACCACATATATATTTTGTTGTTGTTGCCTTAAGTTTGGTATCGTGTTCGAGAGGTATGGCTAACTTTGTGTCTATGTGTCGTTAAAACCAAAATAAAAAGGACCGATACGGTATTAAAGGGCCAATGTGCGAAGGATAAGGGGTGACATTGGAAAAGAGTGAAAATGGAAAGGAAATACGTACCGTTAACGACAATTTAACAAGAGAGGACATCACAAAACATGCAAGCGTTCAAAACATGTAACAATATACAGGACACATGTAAAGAAACACAGAGGGGAGATTAAACCGGTTTTAGGCGCGACAAATCTTTCTCTTAGTCCCATTGTGTTCCTATATGACGAGCCGAGTCTCCACAAGTGAAATTCTTACAATTGTCATGATTACATTAGATGAAATAAAAAAACACACATAAATGATCATGTTAATATGTACAAAAAGGTAATGCCTATTGACCATAATAACAGTACTCGATGCCTTAAGAAAACGAAAATTTAAACAATTCTGCCCGAAAGGCTTATGATATATACTACGCTCATCTTTGAGTAAAATATTTTAACATATATGTATTAAAATCTATGAAATACTTACTGAATATGTCTCATTGAATACAAGAATATAAACTATATATGGCAAGCTGTGTTCCCTATTACATGTTAAGTGTAATTGTCTTTTCTTAAAGAAATCTGCCAGTTTTTATTGACCCTATATATTTATATTCTGACCATTTATAGTGTGTAAAATATTTGAAACATTACCTATCTACTTTGACAATGTGTGAAGTCAAAACAGCATTCGGAACTGCCTCGGCTATTATCTATAATAACCTCGGAAACAATACGGATTGAAAGTAGTTCTACCACGTGGTTTACAGATGTAAACAGAAACAGAGATAATGTAAAACGAATGTATATATTTGACATCTAATGTCTGTTCCGGTACTCTTCTGGTTGAAAATATGTCTGACAACAATTTGTAATTTAAATATGCCCACTGATGTTCAATTTTAAACAAATCCAACTAAATGTCAACAGGTTGGTTTTTTGTACTTTCGGTTTCTACATCCATATTAGTAAATATATAAATATTGTATTGTTTGCTTTTTTACATATGAATTCACTTATTTTAGGTGGACTTTAACTACATATATTGGAAATAAACTTGTCAACAACTCCCAGCATTAAATTACTATTTGTTTACATGTTTAGTTTCTTAGCGTAGGTTAGACCGGAATACCGCATCCGTTCTGTGTATTCTTACTATTGTGTTCGAGGTCCTTATCCGAAGACTGACGAAAAGGGCCGAGTAGTTGCGATTGGTCAAAACAGGTTTATTTTATATTTACAAAGAGCGTGTATGTTTATTCTATATTTACAAAGAGACTGTGTAGCAAATATCAATATTTTCTAATACTAGTATCAGATTCGAGCATAGTACATATATCTTATAAACTGTCCATCATAGAGTATTCCACTTGATACGTCAGATGCAATCAAAAGAGAAAAACCTAGGGTCCAATTGAAAAATATTGAGCATGCCGCATGCCTTGAAATAATTGATCATAGCCTCTTTTAATAAACATTTGATAATTTTAGTGAAGAAAGCAGAAAAATGACTATTACTTATGATACTACGAAGTATATTAACCACATCTTCAATGAAATAAGACTTATTTGTAAAAGAGTTTTTAAATAACAACTAAATTTTAATTACGATGGTAGATCTATGTTAACTATTTTCTTAATGTATGATAGCGTTAAGTAGGCTGCCAGTAATGAAACAAAATTGTATTCATCAAAACCACTCATACGACTGCAAGCCCGCGCAAATCTAATATACTAAGAAATATTTACCCCATATGATGCATGAGGTACAGTTAAATTTTAATTAATAACTTTGTGAAATATTTCCGTAATGTATGATAACGTTAAGTAGTTTGCCTGAAATAAAACCAACTTGCGTTCATTCAAATTATTTATACGACTGCACGCCCGAGCAAATCTAATTTACTAAGAAAAATATACTCCATATGATATTGCATTAAGTACATCTCCATCTATATGTGGATAGTTACCGATATCAAAACCATTATTGCTTTCATAGATTTAAGTTACTATAGTATAGTTAATGATAGAAATATTTAAATCGTAAGAAGATGTAGTTTTTAAGAAGTGTTTGTTTTATTAAATTAATGTTCAGTTTATATCCAAATATTTCAATAACCAATAGATCAAATAAGGATTACTCATGTTAAGGATATCATATAGGGAGCGGTAAGTGTTATTAAATGCATGCATAATTTCCTGCTGTGAATTAAAAGATAGACTTAACATAATGCAAGGTAAACCATATTCCCGGTTTGATAACTTTAAATTATATATTTAAAATTTATTCCATGTCCAAAATAACGTATATTACTCCGGTGATAAAGAAAGTAATCTAGATTTATGCGATGCATTTATTGATAACTATATTTATTTATTTCAATGATGTTGACCGCGATCGAAAGGTTACTTTTGAATTTGGTGTTTTTTATATTTAAATATTTTATAAAGTTTATGTATTAAGAATAAAAACTGACACTATTGGAGTTATGTTGATTTATCTTATTTATATTGGCTGTACATTGTCTTCGTCTAGATTACATATAATATGAGACTTAGATAAGATAACTTTATGATAACGGGCATTAAGCTTAAGCTTATAGCTACAATAACATTTTTAATTGGTGACATCAACCTGTTGACTGCTGAGGCAGATTGCGATAAAGACTTAAATAGGATCGCACTTATTTCAGATTTTTTCTTTCAGTAAATAACGAACAGACGGACACAATGTTGGGAAGTTTTCTACAGACGTTTATAGCATTTTTCTTGTTTACACTAGAGTGCTTTCATATATGCGGTCATACACTGATTTTGTTTCGAGTGCGGTTACTTCCGCGGAAGGATTTGGTCCGAATTAGGTACTACTTTTTGGTCGAGCTTCTCACCGTATTTTCATCATCCATGCTGTTTACGGGGAAATTAAAATGGCTAGCTGCTTGTCAAGTAATTTCACATGCATTCTACTTCATCTTCTGGGAGAAGAATTGGGTCACAAGAAAGGTAAATATTACAGGAAGTTTACAGACGTAACCAGATGAAAAGATTCTTTTTAGGGTGGAGGGGGTGTGCTATTCGTTGACCGATTTAACCAATTATGGGTTATTTATAATATTTGTTGAAAAATGTAGTGAGCAATTTATCTGAAATTTTGCACTTAGTTTATTACTTTAGATCTACATAAAATGGTATATCATATGACCATTTTATAAAACAAAGAGAGAAGCGGAATTTATGATGGCTGTATAAAACCTTAATAGTTCGCAGCACGTTGTCAACAGAATTTAAATGGCATGTTTATTTCCTTATAAAATGGAAATGGATTGTTAAGAAGATAGTGTGAATTTTAACATCAAATCTCTGTTTTAGAGCCATCTTTTACTTTATAATTTTCAGTCAGTTACTGATTTATCCGTGAAAATTATTTTGCATCAATGGGTTTTTTTCATCTTGTTAAACAAAAGAAGTTTATAAAGAAGAATATCGATATTAAATGGTGATTCATTAAATGGATATTTATATGGCGGCGTGGCCGAGTGGTTAACGAGTCGGACTAGTAATCTAAGGATTGCTAACCGCGTGGGTTCAAACCTTGTCAGGGGCAAGCCGTTGTTTCACTGTTGTACAGCGTCCACCGTATATAGCCCCTAAAACAACGAAAACGAAAGTAGAAAGCTTCACACTGAGTACACCCAAGATAATATTTTAACTTATTTCTTCATCATAACTTTATTGATTTTTCCAAACTAAACAATTTTGTGAAGCTAAATGGTTCTTGTTTTAGAGCAATATTTGCTTTTGTCTGCAAATTGAATACTTTTTGTTAAATTGGTGATGAATTGTAGCGTATTTGTTGCATTTGCGAACGATGTTGATATTTACCACTAAAACCAGCCCAAAACGCATTTGCTGTATCGAATTCCGCCGCTAATACAAACTATAGCCATCCCTCTACTTATATTTGAGTTTTCACCCTTCAACTTGGGCTGCTTTTAACAAAATTTGCGAAAAACGACCTTGCCTTGTGTACAGAGTCTAGCACGGATGTGTACGGGGTGTAGATGGAAAACTGTTAGCGATTGTACGGGGTGTAGTAGGAAAACGAATGTCATTTTCTGTAAAATAAATTCAGTACCAGAGCATATACACGTACGCTGATGAAGAAATAACGATTAATGTCGGGAGCAGGGATTGTGAAGTGAATGATATTAATTTTATAAAAGATGAAAATGTTTAAATTGTAAACATGTTGCGCAACATGTATATTAATTGCAGTAAACAGTTTCCGTCCTGCTATACCACTTTTTATTCGTGCCTAAAAGTTAATAAGGAAATCGTAAAACTCAAAAGACCACAATTTCATTCCATAGAGGTAGCACATTATGTACAGCAAATTCTATAATTTGTCTTAAACAATTTCAAACCATGTTTGGGTTATGCTTGATCTAAACTTGTTATATTGGGTTATTATTTCACTGGTCTTAAGACTTCATTGAAAAACAAACATATGTTAATGAGCTTTGATAAAATATCCGCCTTGATTAGTAAGGTTAATCATTAGATTTAACTTTTGTGGCTATAAAGTCTTTCATAATTTTTTGCAGTCAAACTCGGGTGGCCTCACTTGTGATTTCGATATTGTTTAATAAATACAATGTTGCCGCTTCTGTTGCTGCTTTTTCTAAAAATTATAATGATAAAGATGACTATTCAATGATGAAGATGATGATAATAATAATGGTTTTTTATGTTTTCAATTCAACAATGCGTTACCAATGCAGAGTGATATGAAACATTTAAAGAGTCTATTCGGCATATTATTACCGGTATCTTTTGAGTCGATTAATAGATTATATAAGGCGGCTAAAACTGTTTTATAGAAGACAGTGCTAATGCCGTTTTGTAGAAAATGACACTCGTGCAGAATCTTTTAATTGTCTGATCAATTATCAACCTCATGTCTTATGTGTATGCTAGTTATACATGTATATATATAAATCCCCATTCGGACCATTCCCATTCAGCGAGTTGGTCAGAAGACTCTTCAACATGTCTCATAAATACCGACAGACACTATTCAGCTGATGGCATGACAATACAAATTAAACGCAGCTATACTGTTAGGCTCAAAACACAAAAAAAGTTAAATTATTTACCAAATACCTCTGTATCGTCCTCTAATCTACCCATGTTTAGTCTGAAATGAGATTATTTCCAATTAAAAATAATATAAAAGACTATACTTTAAAAATATTTGACTGCTAGACACCGTACACATCTACTAAACCCTGTACATTAAACTACATACCCCGTTCACTTAAATTTGTTTTCTTTGCTAGACTCTGTACCCAAGGCAAGGCCGTTTTTTGCAAATTTTGTTAAAAGCAGATCGAGTTGAAGGGTGTAAACTCAAAATATAAGTAGAGGGAGGACTATAGTTTGTGTTAAATGGCAAATTTTGATACAGCAAATGCGTTTTGAGCTTGATTTAGTGGTAAATATCAACATCGTTCGCACATATCAACAAATACGCTACATTTTATCGCCAAGATAACACAAAGTATTCAATTTGCAGACAAAAGCAAATATTGCTCTGAAACAAGAACCATTTAGCTTCACAAAATTGTTTAGTTTGGAAAAATCGATGAAGTTATGATGAAGAAATAAGTTAAAACATTACCTTAGGTGTACTCAGTGTACAGCTTTCTACTTTCGTTTTCGGTGTTTTTAGGGGCTATATCCGGTGGACGCTGTACAACAGTGGTTTCCTTGAGCAAGAAACTTTACATTCATTGCTTAGTACTGGTTGGCTCCAGGGACGGATTCGAGAGTGTTTCAATAAGCTTATAGCTTTCAACACAATCGAACTAAAAATAAATTTGTTTAAACCAAATGGCGATTTGGGACCACAATTAATTGCATTGAATGCTTTATTGCAAGATCGAACTGGCTGTTTAGTAGACGCAAAGGTGAAAGTATTAGAAATTAGGAGCGAGATCATAAACATTGGCCTCTGTGTATGATTTAGCTTTGACATTCTACTTAAATGTGCTTTTTACGTAAGGTTGGCTTACACCTATTTAAATATCATTAATCAATAAAAATCAGTCAGGTTATTAGAAAAAGAATTAAACGTGTCTTTAGGAAGTCACAGAAAGAGTTACAGAAAGAGTTACGTCACTTGGATTTACAGGGTTTTCTGCGATGAGGCTGGCATTTTTTTTAAAATGGGTAAAACATCTCTAAAATGGATTTTTTTACATGTATGTAATGATTTCCATCAGAAACGGTTTATCAGGCTTTCACCATGTTCACTATATAATGTACGAATATTTTTAAGAGTAGTAAGTGACGAAGGTGAAAATATAATTTCTTGCAAGGCGTATGATTGTGCTATTTTTTCCTTTCAACGTGATTTCAACTTAAAGTTTGATTAACGTGATGTACTTTAAAATATCGGTACGTTTAGAAAGAGAATAAATTACCCTGCTCAGTTTCACAAAGAATATTAATTGTTTAAACCCATGGTGTAACTATTTCGTCTTATAGAATTGTTTATTTTATCAATCATTCATGAATTTTGTTGATAGTAAATTATATAATCGCAAGCTAATGATCAGTTGTGAACTCATTTTTTGAGCTACAGTCTTCATGTTTTCATGAGAAAGCCGTCTGGAATTCAGGATGTCATTTGGGCAAACAGATTTTAATATCTAAGATTATTTTGAAGAAATGTGATTTAAACTCGTAATTAAGAATCAAGTAAAAGAAAATGTGTTTGTTTTTGTGTTATATGTAGCTTTATTCCGTATTTAACAACAACTACAAACAAATAACATCTATATAACAAAATTTGCGGTCGGTTATTTCCGGGATGATTACATATGTAAGTGATCTATTCTACTTATTTAAAGTCTGATTTTATTGACCTGTCAATAATGAATACATTATAGCACTCATTTAAATATTCAATCCCACTTCGGGTTTGTCCGTTTATTTTACGAGAATTAATATGGAGTATATCATTAACGTTTGGAAAACTTCCACTAGCTTAATGTAGGTTCTCGTAACATCCGCAAAAGCACAGTCGGTTAACGTGATTACCTGATGTATGAGAGGTCCGAGGTTCGATCACTTCTTTTGACATTCTTTTTAAACTTGTTCGGGTTTTTTTTAAGGTATATTTTAAAGAATATGGCCAAGCGCTTGCAAAATTGTCATACGGATATGAAACAACTAAAAAACACTGAATTGTCACATTTTGCATTGTATTTTACGGCACTGAAATTACATTTATTTATTATAATCCGAATGAACTTTTAGTATCACTTATATACAAAAATATAATATATACAAAAGAGTGCAAAACATATTAAAACAGAACACCCATAACTTCAAAAATTTTGAAAATAATTATGAATAAGAAGAAAAAAAAACAAAAAAACTGGATATACATTGTCTCAATCTTACTACATGAAAAACATTTTTGTCTATACCCGTGGTTTACCCTATTTCGCTATAATGGTTAGTGTAACTAATTCATCGAAACTAGATGGATTTAATCACATCTTACTGCGTACCTCTCACGGAATTTACCGAACATTTATCGAATATTAATATATTCTGTGCATTGACCGTATAATGAATATGGAATTGACAGGTTAATAAAATCAAACAATACATGTTGTTAGTTTTTTGTATTTAGGAAAATCGTGCTATAATTACTCATTTGAATTTGAAAAAAAATGTAGTATTATAGTCATTTATCTTTTTAAATAATACTGATTATCCCAGGTTACCAAAAAGGATCCACTTTACACTTAGAACAGTCCACTCGAGTATGTGATGATTTTAAAATCAAAATACAAAGATTGAGCAACTGGTCCATGCTGATAGGAAGCAGAACATGTTCGTATGACAACATTTATTAAAATCTGTCGCTTTGAATAATCATCATTATGTAACAAGTTTTGTTGAATTTGTACCTGTTTTTAAAACGGTACAGATGCTTGAATTTTAAACATTTATATGTTTTAATTTAAGAATTGAATTTTACAAGGTAACATTATTCGTAACATTCGCCGTCTTCAAATTGTAAAGAGGAATAACTTGGCAACACCTTTTTTAATTGGCGAAAGAAGTTGTTGATGTTCTTTGACCGTATTTTGCACTAATTATATTCAAAGCTCGAACCAGTATTCTATTGATTTATTGCCTGATTTATACGACAGCTTAACGGTTATTTTAGGTGTTGATTTATTATCTATTTTATTGATTTAAATTCTTACTTTATCATTTTTATCTTTTTAACTATTTACTACTTGCTGGAACCAAAATGTGATTAGGCTTTGCCATTTGTATAAAGTCAAACCAGCTTGCACATCAGTGCAGTTTACCCGGCTCTATACTGATTGTAGCTCAGTGTTTGTATTTTGAAATTGGATCCTCAAATGGGCTGTTCCTAAAAAGCAGCTTCAGGGAAGTCATATTTTTGTATTTTAAGATTGTTACATGGAGCTCATTAGACTGGTTTAAAAGCGATCTCAGAACACGTTGGGAACTCGACTCAATTATTGGTGTCACATTTGATATTGTGGTCCATATATGTATGGCGTACTATCTTGGACAATATCTTGATGTTGCAGAAGTAATAGTTTCCTTGTCCATCGTACACGTGGGCGTACTCGTGTTGCTGTTCGGACCTTATTATGCTTGGGCCTCTCCAGGAAAGGAACCTACCTGGATTGATAAACGAATTCACCCGGAGAGGATAAATAAGAAAAAGTGTTAATATATTTGTAGAGGTTTTATTTTCGATATATCCTAACACTATTTTTCTAGTTTGGTTTTATCGATTCGCTGAAAAAGTGCTGCTGGCCCTGTGTTCATTTAGACTTAAGGATACAAATTCAAAACTGTACAATTCTCAAATTGCTATAGCTTTAATCTTCAATATTACACTAATAAAAGCGAGCTTGCAAACGCATGTTTCTGTTTTGTTTTTGTTGTTGTTGTTGTTGTTGTTTTACTATTTTACAATTACATTAATATTACTGGTAAATGCACACTTTACAGCTGATCCAGATATTGGTCGTAATCTTAATATCGATGGTTATTTTTTTATCATTTAAACCCAGTTATTCTTGCATTTTGTATTGTTATTCATAAACTTTATAAAAGATTTGTTTCTAAGTACAATCGACAATCTTCTTATATTTTTGTTTATGTAACATATCATTTTATTACTTAATATGATAAGTGCTTGTTTCATTGATGTTTTAGATTTTATTACAAAATACAGGTGAGCAATATACCCATGATTACATGGTATACACACGCACGCCGCGCACATATAGAAACATTATATCAAGGTCGTTGTACAAATACAACATACTTTTAACACGTATTGAGACTGAATTTGCGTTTAATATGAACAGCATAACCACATTACCATATTGCAGCATTATGTTTGTCTTTTAACAATTTCTTACAATATTTAAGATGTATATGTTCTAACACATGACAACCAGTCAATATCAAGACTTGCGAGGCATGGTATAGAATTTGTAAAATATCTTTATCAAACAGATTCAGTTTATGTTTATCTGACTTGCGAGGAATTCTTATCAGCTCTTTTTCAACTGAATACAACGAATTCAATGCTTGTCTAAAAAGTCTTTCGAAATTCATATTTAAAAGAACAGCCAACATGTACACGTGGAAAGGAACATTAAGTTCAGAGAATATGATATTTTGTTCTTATTTTAGGTATATATTGTTAAAATAAAAACAACTTTATCGGCTCTGGATTATTTACAAATTGAAAATATGTTTTGAAATCTCTTGTGGTTAACTTACAATGATTATTTTCATTAGATACAGTATCTTTTTTTTTACATTTTTCAATATAACCTAGCATTACAAGTCCTAGCATTTTCTAACATGTGTGTTTGCTCCTTATCATATAAAAGTTTCATTTTCCTGATTTTTTATTACAAAGAACTGATACAATTTTAACCCTTGCATTTACATTTCTTCAAATGTTCAGACATGTAAAATATTTCTTTAAATTTTTAATCTTACGATCATCATCACTATGTTTCTTACTTTTTTCTTATGTTAGAGTTAATGTTATTTGTAACATTTCTTTTAAATAATAGATTACATACATCTTGCAAAATATTACAGAAAGTGTTCAAAGATGATCTGTTTCATGACTATTTACAGCGTCATCAACATTTTGACAAATATTTACAAATATACTGAAACAAAAAAGAAACTTTCTCGAAGCTTGAATGTAGATATGTTAGTACAGTTTTTCAATCCTTTTGAAACTCGATTTTTACGTTGAATAAACATATCGGGCTTTTATACGGGGATTAGCTGACCGATTTTGCAAACAAAACGAGTTTTACAAGCTACTACATGTATATAAGTGTGTACATCTAAGTGGTACCCTTGAACAACTGGCACATACTTTGCAAAAGTTTCTTTTTTGGTTCAGTATACATTCATAGCACTATTACTACTTAAACAACATGAATGTGTACATTTCCTAATCCTGTTTACCCATTTATAACTGTAAGGTATATCAGAATAATCATTTTCAGTTTTGTCTTCATTTTCATGTCTTTTACAAGATTTTAAGGTAAAGTGCACATAGCAATGATCAGTCAAACGATTTGGGTCTGTTATTTCAAAATGTGAAATAAATTGCTTAAAATCAATTCGACATAAAACATTGTCTATCACGCTGCTGCATTGCATATTTACGCATATATTAGTATTTATTTGTCCTTGTTATTTTCTTCACAGCATCTGCAATATGATATTCTTACACCAAAAGCTTGCTTTATTTTATAATGAACATACATTATTAAACCACCTCTGTCACTTTTTGAACATTTAGATTTTTTTCTGTGAATTTTCAAATATAATTATAATCAAAATTTCAACAGTTACAAAGATCATTTGACCATGCCTCTATTAAAAAAAATGATATCAATATTTTCGAATAAACGTTTCGTTTCATTGTAGTCTAATTTATTTATCTTTTCCCTATGTGTCGCTCAAACAAAACTTGACTTCATGTTCACATTTTTTGTTTATTTGTTGTTTGTTTGTTTTTTGGTTTTTTTTTGTTGCTGTTGATTTGTTGTTGTTGTTGTTTTTTTGTTGTTTTTTTGTTTGTTTTTTTTTGTTTGTTTTTTTTTGGGGGGGGGCGGGGAAAGGAGGATTCCACTTTATTTACAATTCGGTTATATCTATTTATATCCGGTTTCACAAAAAGACAGAAAAAAATCAGTATTTCACACACGCATAAATTACTTTGCTTTTAAATAAATGATTTTATACATTTAACTGGAGATGAAATATCTCATGCATAAATAAAGCGTTCACTTAAATTTCATGAATTTTCATAATGTACACATCTCTAATCTTCTTCTACATCGCTCATTTTGCATATAATTTGATTTAAACTGTAAGATTTTCCCATTGATAGCTGATTTGCTCAGAGTTTTTTTAATAAAATTGTATATCCCAAACATTAATATATTAATTAATGTTTCATTAACTACGAAGGATAATCCATAAATACCCGAAATTTACCAATAGATTCAATAATATGTATTACAAGTTCATATAACAAACACTAATATTGATTCATAATATATCCTCTTTACAAGGAAACAAAAGTCATAACAATTAAACACATTATGGTCACCACATTCATATATTAGCAAACATAGTAATGCGCATACGGCGCAGTTTTAACGTTGTCACAACGTCATAAGTTGTGACGTCATAAATATACTAAAATCTTTCACAGTATTAGCCGTTATATGCAACATTTGGTCGATGCCTTATAACCAATCGGGTGAATGAGTAAAGGAGTCATTTTGTTGAATAATTCTGGATATCGCTCACCGTAAGTGTGTTTACAACGCAAACCTATTATTATTGAAATGTTGTTTGATTTGATCGTGGGGAATTGAAAAGTCATACGCACCTTCAAAGTGAAGGCATAAAAATTGTTTCATTTTTATTCTCTATATCATTTAAATACGTAAACAAATGTGTATGGTAAAATAAGATGCTAAAAAACAAATAACACGTACGAATATAGATATAAATAAAATGTTGTAGCTTTTGTTTAGACTAGACAGTAAAAGACTTTGATTTCATAGAAGACGTTTTAGATAAATAGAATAAATACGTTAAAATAAATCATAAATCTGAAATTAATGCAACTCATTAAATTTAATTTTGTAAAACAATCGCATTAAAATTTTCTGCAAGGCAGCACACGACACAGCACATTTGAGCCGCGTCACGACAACACCAAGACAGTGCGTTTGCGACCAGCTTGGATCCAGACCAGCCTGGGCACCAGCGTTTTATAAGCGCCGCAACGACGGAGATCATTTACGGCATGCGCATTCTTCTACTCCACCAACGACATGTATTTCCTTTAAGATTAGTCAAACTTTCTGAAAACGCGCCTATATTTTTCCAAATCTTTTGTTTGACTAACATGATACTTTTGTCAGAACGTTTTTGAAGGTGACTGTATGAACGGTTGACAAATGTTTATGAAGGGCCCAAATGGCGACATTTTCGGATATATAAAAAAGATGCAACTATAAACCCGTTGAATTTTTATTAAACAAGTTAAAGTATTTTGTTTACAAATAAAAATTTTTAATTATGAATTATGGATATCACAGGCACTTTGATTGGTTGTGCTCCTAGGTTATATTTGTCGTACTAAAGGTTAAATTGCATTATTCTATTATTACGCCATGACATATTTAAATACTTTTTTGGCGCCATTTCAGTTAAAATTTTGTCAGACACATTTGAAGACAGACACTTTAAGAAAGTTAAGAAATGATGGCATGCAGAAGCAATCTCAGATCTATATTAAATAACTTACTGGATACATGTAAATTGCGAAAACTGGAATTGAATAATTGCTTTGCCTTGACCCATTACTTCGTGAGCATTTTGTGAAAAATGGCTGTTTTCAAGTAACAACCTCCTGATACAAGTTCAAATTACGCTGAAACTGTAAAAAAGACTTCAATGCTGTTCAAACTTGGCACAAAAGTTGACTGGTCCATAACCTTTGTAACGTCATACTCAATCTAAAATTTCCTGTTTCCATGGCAACGAGGGTGCATTCAAAATTGCCAAAATAGTTTGCGTTGATTTTTCCATCAAAACTGATTTCAAAGTTCTGCAACTTCTCAATGGATTCAGATAGAGTCAAAGGCTTTATAGCGTCGGTTACACGTTACCTTAAGGTCGACCTGAGGCTATTTTTAGCCTCTCACAAGTCCAAATTTTTTTTTGGATTTTTACCTCAAACCCAAACAAAAGGGGGCACAACCCCCCCCCCCCCTCTGCCATCCCCTTGATGTATCTACTTGATAGGGAATGGCGCCGAAAAAGTGATCAATTTTTACACACCATTTCTCAAGTGTTTGGGGACTAAAAAGGGTATTATTTCACTATTTGAGGCCCCTCAAAAAAGGAAGGGGTGTAAAGGCGTGAAAAGACGTCTATATAAAGTAATGGATTGGCTTGTACCACATATTAGTGTTATAATAAATGTTGCATAAATGGATATTTTGTGGTAAATGACATCAAGTTAAATGCTTTGAGTGTGGCTGACTGAATTATGATTCAGTCAATGAAATGAGGTAGATATGACGCATTTTTTTACAGTTATTTTTATTCTTTTTTCTAGAATAACTTGCCCTTTTAAGGACTTTCCTGTCTTTTAATCGAGTCGAATAGTAATCAGTAAATTTCAGTATCTTTGTATATGTAACATTAATATTATATTTGCAATATTTCTTACAGTGCAGTATTGATATCACATGTAAATATTTGGGCATAGACTTTTTTCAGAAACCATGATACAATGTTGCGTTACCATTGCTTATATTTTTGGATTTGATTTGTCTTTGCAGTTTACTAATATTTAAGCCATATAATTGTATGTGACGCTGGCAATTGAAGTATAAAAAATGAACAAAGGGCAAAAACTCCAAAATTAGGCAAGGCGGAGTTATGTTTTTTGCACTGCACTTCTATTCAATGAGATCTATCTATCTATAAAGCTTCCTGATGATATCACCTATAGTTTCAGAGTTATGTAAAATTGAAAGTGTAAAAATGAACAAAGGGCAATAACTCCAAAATTAGACCAGGCTTTGTTTAAATTCTTTAAGCATTGCAGTTCTATCCAATGATATCTAGCTACCTACAAAGTTTCATGTTGATATCTCTAATAGTTTTAAAGTTATGTCTTGGACAAAAGTCAAAAAGTAAAAATAAACAAAGGGCAATAACTTCAAAATAAGGCAAGGCAGAGTAATGATTCTTTAGCACTGCACTTCTACATAATGAAACCTATCTATCTACAAAGTTTCATGTTGATATCTCTTATAATTTTAGTTATGTCCTGGACAAAGTTCAAAGTGTCAAAACTAACAAAGGACAATAACTCCAAAAGTAGGCAAGACAGTGTTACAGTTCTTGTGCACTGCAAACCTACTTAATGAGATCTATCTACCTACAAAGTTCATGTTGATACCTCTTATAGTTTTAGAGTTATGTCCTGGACAAAGTTCAAAATGTAAAAATAAACAAAGGGGAATAATTCAAAAATTAGGCAAGGCAGAGTTACGTTTCTTGTACACTGCAAACCTACTTAATGAGATCTATCTACCTACTAAGTTTCATGTTGATACCTATTATACTTTTAGAGTTATGTCCCGGACAAAGTTCAAAGTGTAAAATAAACAAAGGGGGATAGTTAAAAAATTAGGCAAGGCAAAGTTACGGTTCTTGTGCACTGCACACCTACTCAATGAGATATATCTACCTACAAAGTTCCATGTTGA